GTCACTAATTATGACTTAAGCATCAGCAGTCGACTTTAAGCATTATTCGGAATTTGCTGACAACACAATAATAGAACTCTTTATACTCAGCCAATTTCGTCGTCTACAGAATATTTTGTTCCACTAGATGTGTTAGACAATGTGGAGAACCTTAAGGATAACCTCCTCTGGGAAGACCAGCATCTTGATGTATTCGAACTCGTCGAGCCGCGTGAGGATCTCCTTCATCGGCTTCGACTGCGACTTCTTGGCCATGGCGCAGACGCCGACCACCACTTTCTTACCCCCGCCATCGCTATGCGGGTCCAGCGACTCGCACAGATCCAACTCGCCCTATTATTTAATGCACACAAAACACTTTAAAATTATTTTAAAATGATATAATATGTAACTCGAACACCTTTTATATGGTTTTGATGATGAGTTAAAATTAAAGTCTTTGCACTAGACCTAACAAGTAAAGTACTTTACAGAAGATAATGTTTTCAAAGACACCTAGAGTAATACAAACTTGTAAACACTAGACTGACTATCATGTAGCACAACAGGAGAACAATAGATAGGCCTGACACAATAGGGGTAGTTCCATTATTTATTAACTCATCGAGTACCGGTTTTGTAGACACCATTATAGAACAATAGGTTGCGGTCACCGGTGACCGCTTGGTGTTTGACAGTTTAATAATGAATGTCTTATATGATATCTAAGTAAAATCAAAATACAAGTTATTTGATGTCATAGTAAGTATTTGCTAAGACATCAAATAACTTGTATTTTGCTAATTTGATTCTAGTAATGTAACAACTAAACTTTATCAGTATAATTAAAAAACAATTAAAGAAATACAAGATTATTGTTTTGATACAAATGAACTTGTTATGATAATAAATTGTATGATAAAACATGAGTACTATATCTATTCTCTAGTCGTTATAAATGTTATATTGAATTTATTTAATGTTGAAATATAAAGTAAGTAGGAAAAAAGCTAAAATAATTTTTTTGTTGACATGCAGAAATATATCAATAAAATCCTATAAAAGGTATAGATGTACCTATATTTTCACTGCCCATATTTGGAAAGCTAAAAGTGTTGAATACTTTTGAAAAGTTTCTGTATACCACTTTTTGAAGATCATTACACATTCAATTATTTTTAAGTATTTGCAACACACATCAAGCAACATCTTATTATTGTTATTGCTTTATTTAATTTGCAAAAGCAATAAATTAATAATATTGAAGGAGACATTAATAAAAACAAAGTATCACTTAAAGTATCCTCCTAAAGTACAGTTGAAAGGATTTATGCAATTAAATTTAGTTAGAAAGGAACATTAGCTTGAGCATGCTAATAGAAGCCTTTCATGTCAGTTCTATATATTTAATGTCTTTGTCCGTTCACACACTAGAATAAGTATAAATTAGCATAAGTATGCTAATAGCTGTATAGAAGCCACTCGTGTTATACAAACACAATATAAAATTTAAATATTAAATCACACAAACCAAAAATTCTTAAATTTTGTAATTAATATTTTTTTAATGATACGATATAATAATGAGTGACATAACAAAAGCCACCATCATCTTACATCAGGCAGACAGTCATCACAATAGCATATGTCATCATCACTCTGGCCCTTCTTGTCCTTCCTCCATCTTTTGAGACGCCACCAATCTTTAAGCCACTGCCACTCCATCACCACACACTATCTATACACTTGTTTCCTATCATAGCATATGATAAGCACACAGCCAACCTTGCCACCGATTGGTTGACACTACTTTACACTTGATAACTAAGATAAACTTGACATAAATTAACATACTACATTACCTCACTTGTCATTGTCAGCATGTAAACCTATAAATATTATAATCTATTATGTCCATACAATATAGGATAATTAAGTGTAGCCACTAGCCGTCCAGCACTCAACATGCAAGCAGTTATGTGCTCACAAGTGTTATCAGTGCTGTATTAGTGTACAATGGACAATGATAATATTAGCTGACTAATATTTGGTCTGGATTCGTTTCACTTAAGTGACCTCACTACTACTTGTGTTTGGATTGTTATTTTATATCTGGTTTAGTTTACATAACACTATCTCTATTTCATACTACAGTGCAAAAGGTCATTGCTCTGCAAGTATCTACGTCGTTTGAGTTTGATTGACAACAACAACAGCTACTTCAAAATGAAAACTTACTGATGATCTTATCGGTACAAGATTTCCGTCATCTCCGACATAAAATTGGGGCTGAGTAGCTTGCCGCAACCCTTGATAGCCATGTTCGAGCTCAGTGTATGACATTACCTACATACACCTGCCTATTTCAAAATTTTAATTTATCAATATCATTAAGCAGATCCTAAACACCGATACAAAATTATGAAAACTAAATTATAAAATAGAAAACAAAAATATAAAAATATTTTCAAAAATATGTCCAGCACAGATCATACAAACATTACAAACGGAATTAAAAAAATATGTGACACATCTCTAGATCAGAATATCCTGGACCCTGAACTTTTGAGATATTATTTTATGAAAAGTATGATGTTTTTCAACAGAAGTCAACGGAATAAAAATGAACAAAATTAAATGATAAAGTATTGATCAGGAATGTCGTATTAATACGATTTATCATTCAATTTTCTAATAGAATAATTGCATTCATTTCGCAATTTTCGAACGTATCAGCCAAGTGACAGCAACACGCAACAGTCATACTGAAGTCGTAAACAGGAAACAGCTGATTGATAAATAAAGTCATTTTGAATTCAAGAGAAATTCAAGACTCAAGTTCAAAGTTTCGTCAGCTTACAAAATAAATAGGTATTAAAATAATAACAATAGTGATTATTTATCGTTTTGGTTTATAAGAAACGTTAGAATAATGGCAGAAATTTCAAAAAGTTTAGATACTGCGCTGACCTCGGATTCTTTTTGGGAATCAATTAACATTTTAATATCAAAACCTCATGTAATTAATAGGAGGTTATGGGGCGGCAAAATATGGTTCAAAAATTCTTGTAAACCTAAAACTGCTCCATTTATCATGCCAGCAACTTTACATCAGCTGAATGATCTTGTTACTACTGACAATGTTGACCAATATAAAATTCAAATTCTCAATGAACTGAATGTTGAAAATGTATTGAGTAATACCACTGATGATGAAGTTCAAGTTGAAGTACTTCTAATGGAATTGCTTCCTAAAAACTATTCTGATAAACAAGCATACCAAGTTGCTTGCTCATGGAAGAATAAACCTTTAATAACTTTCTACGATGTTACACCTTCCAACCAGGAACAAAAGTTATGCCCAGATTTTTCATACACTATACACCTAAATAACAGCCACATTCTACTTACAGCTAAAACTGGTTTGTAATCTTTTTATAAACAACTGATAACAATTACACTGATAATGTAGCTATATTAATCTTATTTTTTATTATAGATGAAAATTCCAAGTCGTTTAAATGGCTTAGCAATACTTTGCTCCCTCAGCTTATCAAATGGGGAACTGAGTCAAAAAGCCACAGCACCAAGTCTAATATGTGCAACGAATCCTTATCACTGGTGTCCCAAACCAAATATTATGAGAAGTATAATGATTTGAAGGTGAAATATGGGAAAGAAATGGTTAAGGTAATATTTAAACTTAAAATAAGTGGTTGAATTTTAATTTAAGACTGTTGACTGTGAATTAGTTTAAATAACATAATTAATTACAGATTTGGCCAGAATGTACAGATGCTTCAAAGTTTGTGTATGAAGATGTTGCAATAGCAGCTTACCTTTTATTGCTCTGGGAGAGAGATGAACCTAGCAAAAGTAAATCATTTGTAGATCTAGGATGTGGGAATGGGTTATTGGTATACATACTTACCCAGGAAGGTCATACTGGTATAGGAATAGATGTCCGAAAAAGAAATATTTGGGATATGTATCCTCCTGGAGTTGTATTACAGGTATCTTATATTTATTATCCAAAAAAACTCACAATATTTGTTGAATTATTTATTTTATTTAATATGACATATTTAAGACATAATTTAATACGACGGTTACAGGAAAAAACGATTACACCTACAGATACATCATTATTTCCTGACATAGACTGGATTATTGGAAACCACTCTGATGAGCTTACACCATGGATACCAGTTATAGCAGCTAGGAGTTCATATAAATGCAATTTTTTTCTACTTCCATGTTGTGCATACAATTTTGACGGAAGCAAATATCAGCGCAAAAATTCATATAAAAGTCAATACAATGATTATTTAGACTACATAAGACAGTTATGTGTTCAATGTGGCTTTAATATAGACACCGATAGACTAAAGATTCCTAGTACTAAAAGAATATGCTTTGTTAGTAATAATAGGATATATCTAGAAGAAGAACATACACAGTACAGCAATACAATAGATGACTTAATAAATAAGGGTTCTACAAATACATTACAAAATATAGAAAAAGAATTTAAAGCCCGAGAACCAGTGGAGAGAGTAAAGAATTGTACACAAATAGACAAGTCTATTGTAAATTCCATAGTTGACTGTATAAGTAAATACCTGCTAGAGGGTTGCTTAGAGTCAGAAACCACCTGGTCGAAAGGAAAAACTGCAGAGATTAGTGAATTGATACATCTTATACCTAAAGAACAGCTAAGTATATTGAAATCTGAATGTGGAGGTATACAAACACTACTTAAGAATAACCATAATATATTTGAAGTGCAATCTGGTAGGGTTGGGTTAAGATATCCAAAAACTATAAATGAAGTTAATCTTGTAACTAGAAAAAGAAAATTTAATAAACAAACAACTATAAAAGTGCAGCAGAAACCATGCTGGTTTTATAATAATCATCCACAAGGTTGCCCATTGAGTGATTCAACTTGTAGTTTTTTGCATGTAAAAGAGAATAAATAAAAAAATAAATACAAAAATAAAAAAATAATGTTTATTCATTTTCAGTCCCATTCCATTAAAATAATTTATCACCCAATTTGTAATATTACAAAATAATGCGGAAAGTATTGAAGATTTAAAAATCAGTTGCTAACTTTACAAGTCAATTGGATACATTTTATATGTATATAAAATAATAGAAAGACATTTCCCAACTCCAAATAATGTGGTTACATTTTATTCAATCTGAAATGCTTTATTCAGTTCAGTCAAATTCCTCTCATCAATTAAAGTTGCAATGTCATGTTCTCCCATGAAGGCACACACCATCCTCAAAGTTGTCCAAATTGTTGAAGAACTAGTGTCAGTAGCAACTGATTCTGGAAACATGCTCTTAGCTTTATGTTGTTGGTTGAGTGCCACTAAGAAATGCTCTGCAGCCTCTTTGTGAGCCCCTAAATTCATACAAGTGATTCCAACATTGTACCTAGCTCGTATAAATCCAGGTTCCAAACCCAAAGCCTGGCGATATGCATCTACAGCTTGCTCTGACTTGTCACTGTTTGCCAAAGTGGCTCCTAATCTGTTCCATAGCTTTGCATTATCGCTTGCAACCATCAATGCTGTCTGGAAACAGTCAACAGCTTTGTCGTATTCTTGACTGATATTGAACACTACACCCATAGCATTCTGGACATCTGGGTCAATTTCATTACCATTTGAATGCACTGCTTTAAGATACAATGACTTAACATGACGCTCCAACTCCTTGACTTCCAATTTCATTGGATCTATATCTTCAGGCACAAGATTAGAATATTTTGGACTGGCCTTTAACCAGTTAATTAAAGAGATATAAGCATGCTTAGGCATGTTTTCATTGGTATATGCTGCTGCCAATGTAATATATCCTTCCAGTTGTGTAGGATCAATGTGTAAAGACTTTTTCAAAGCTGTTATAGCCCAAGGATCTTGTTCATTTTCAGCTTGTGTTGTACCTAGAAGAAACCAGGCCTCTGCTGATTCTGGTTGCTGTTGTACAGCAGCTTCGAAACACAAGACAGCTCCAGGAACATCACCCATTTTCAATTTTTCCTTTCCGATTTCCAAAGCACTTTTATTTTCCAGCATAACATTACCTTCAGAGAAGGCATATTCTTTAGCAATCCCATTTGCAGTTTCAGAGTCCCAGTAATTATTAACGTCACTAAGTTTATCCCACTCTTCTTTGTATTTTTCACTCATTTCATCTAATATATCCTCTCTGCTCATTTTTCTTTGTGCCTGATCTGGGCCAGGATCTTCGCCTAAACGGATTTCTCCAGCACTTATTTTTTTCATAAAGGACATGAATTCATTATATTCCAAGTCACTGTCTTTCTTCATAGTATTAACATACTCTTGAGCTTTAGCTTGGACATCAGCACTTGCCATGTTTGCAACTGCAGCTTCATTGATAAATTGTATTTGTGGATTGGGCATTGCCATTGCTTGCGGGAGTAGCATAGGATGCTGCAACATGGGATAGTTGGGCATGACACTGTGTGTCATATAAGAAGGAGATGGGCCTGCTGTCCATGATCTGTTCATGTGAGTATTAACGTTTGGAACGTATGATGATGTCGAGGGACCAGGTGTAGTTTTGGTAGTTTTATCTTGAGGCAAATTATTGAGAAGAGTATTCATATTAAAGGTTTGTGGTGTCTGAGAATTCTGTGCCATGAATTCGTTAACAAACCTGTCAGCTTGTGAGAGTGGTTGTTGTAGAGCAGCATCACGACGCACAATATTCGATAGTTGCACCAAAGAATTGTTCCCCCCACAGTCTCCGCCTACTAGTTTATTTAGCGACATTTTCTTTAAAAAGTGGTATCACTTCCCGCTGCTACTGGCTGCCTTATCCGAATCAAATTTCTGATTCGACAACTTAAAAATGTACAAAGTTCACATAAACAAGTCGTAAAATATCGTTTGACTGAATAGAATCAAGATTGACATTTAAATAACCAGTTTAGAAACCACACACACGGCAAAAATTATAAATTATCTTCTATGACCATTACATATTCGAAGCCATTTGTAAAATAGGTACGCGTTAGGTACTCTCTTCTACTTGCATTGGATCAATAAACATTTTGATAGGTACCTTTATAGGCTAGGTACCTATAAATATAGGTTTTAGTACTTGTAGTGGTGCCTGATTGTATTTCTTACTATATCTAAATAACTTTTGTTACGAATAAATAAATTACAAGTATAGTAATTAGTAATGCGTAATAGAAGTTCTTTATTACGTTTAAATACTACACAACCAGTATAGTAGCCTTTGTACGTCTTTTTTTTTTTTAAGGGGGGAAAATCATCGAATGACTGCCCCCGCCTGGTTGAGGCGGGAGGGAGTGTCAGACTCTTACTGACTAAAAACCACCCCGTTCCTTCTCCTGCACGTTGAGCCGGAGCCCCGGTTACCCGTTAGGTTCTCTGCGACTTTGTACAACGTCTAAGTTGGCATCACAGACTTACAATAGATGAGCAGTCCGAACACTTAACTCCTAGTTATACGTACAATTATGATTTTATGATATTCATCATTCTTTGTCCCTGTTCTGTCAAGCATGAACCTAATAATAGCGTCTCGTTCTTTTACCTGTAGCCACACTGCTCCACACAAAGACAAATATTGACAATAATCAGTTTTTCCGTACCGCCATATTGATATGTTTTTACCTACAACTGTGTCAATCTCGCTATAAAAGAAAATATTAATTGTTTATACCATTAAACGTTTAAATAATCTAAAATAAAATGGTGAAGTGCAGTGCGTACCGATTTTACAACAATAGCTATAAGAAAATACCTGGAATAACCTTTCATCAGAGGGCTTCTATTTAAGTTGTTGCAGACTAAAACAAACTATAGATTTTTTTATACCAACTGTTTTGATAATCTTTATTAGTTTATAATGAAGATTTATCAATTATCACGCCATTTGCCCATAAGTTTACTTAGAATATAATGTACAAAAATAATAAACAAATAAAATCAACTTCATTTTTCATTCATGACATGACAGTTCAAGTACTTGTAGAATAAACAGAGGATTTAGTGTTTTGAAAGATTAAACTAATAAATAATTATATTATTTTAATAAAAAATATGACTAACGATTGCTTTTTCAAATAAAACACGTTGTAGGGATCAACGTACATTATGAGGATATTAAAATTATTCAAACTGTTACATACCTATGTGCCTATGTATTAAATAATATTTAAAACTATATTTTTTACAGTTCCTAAATAATTAGTTTCGGAGTTATATTTTCATAGAATTCTCAAACATTTCCGGTAACACATACATAAAAATTATAGTAAAATTGGATATTTATTCAGTATGTACTTAGAAATATTGACTATTTATCCCGAAAACACGCTTGTAGATATAGATAGCAATATAGCGACACGCGAAAAACTGGCTACATATCAATATTTGTCTGCATGGAGCAGTTTGGCTACAGGCAAAAGAACGAGACACCATTATTTGGTTACGTTACGTAGGTACTTGACAAAACAAGGAAAAATAATGATTGATATCATATACGTATTATCTAGGAATTAATGTTTGGTCTGTAGGTCATAAGTTTATATTTTTAGTAATCTACACTGTGGGCTTTGTAATTAAGTTTTAAAGTGATTGGGTATTTTTAATAATTAACAGTAACAGAGATTAGTTTCGTACAACGACTATACAAATATTTTTTTTTACTATTCACTACATTCACAAACCTCATTTTTTTTTCAAAATTCATTTAAACAATAAATTGTCACTGTCATGAGTGTCAAGTGTAAAATCAATCAAATCAATCACAATCGGTATATGTTCTGTGCAGTGTCAACTGTCAAATCTAAATCTACTCAAAGTGAAAACAACCATGTTCTAGAGTATGAAAATGTGATATCTCTCCCTTTTCTATTTACATGAGAGCGAATGAATAATCCTAGAAGACGCTCATTATAATAATGTCTTGAATATCTTTGTATATTTCTATCAACAAGATCAAAGTTAAAATTCATAAGTTTAGAGGTTATGTAAGCTCGAATCGTTTTTGGTTGCTGGTTATTATTAATATATCGAAATATGCCAGAAACCGCTCTTGACATCAAGGAAGAGACTGAGGAAACAGCAACTGTTAACTCTGAAGAAGATAAAGAACTAGAAGACAAGTGGGTGGTCTGTATCAAAACCGGAAACAAAACTTTCAATTTTGTGCTACTCGAATTATAAAATAAACAATAACTTAAATTCATATACAAAATTATATATGGCATATGGCATAATCATTGCAAAATAATTCATTGGTTGAACCACATTGGGTCCGATTTCCAAATTATCAGACTAAGTATTGGTATACCTTTGTATATTAATTGCATATATTTTGCACAGAAGCCCTGTGAAAAGGGTGGCTCACTTTAAAACATAAGTTTATTTTCTCATCTAGATTAGGCCTATGTCAGAATAATACATGAGGCTAATACTATACACACATTTATGTTCTACCAATAGCATTCAATGAATTTGTAATAAGAATATTTAATCAGAAAATGTTAGACTTCACATTAATTGATAAAAATATTTTAGGTAAAAGTAAAACTCAGGCACCTAAATAAATATATACAAAATAGCTGACCTGGCAAACTTCAAACAGCCTTAAAAAAATATTAACCTTCCCTGGACTTCACAAACATTTTAAGACCAAAATTAGCCCAATGGGTTCAGCCATTCTCGAGTTTTAGCGAGACTAACAAATAGAAATTAATTTTTATTTAGATATCTATCTATCTAGATAAGCTTATATTTATGTACTAAATTAAAACTTATTTCCATAAAGTAGTAAGTAATACTGGTAAAATTTCTTTCAGATAAGGGAATGTGAACTGTACAAGGATGAATATAAGGATTGCACCAGCTTTAGAGGTCGATTCCAACAATATTTTGTGTATGGTGAGACCCTAGACTGTAACCAATGGAAAAAGGACTATGATAACTGTTGTAAATGGCAAGATTATAAGGATATAAAGGCTGCCGTAAGTTCGTTGTAAACTGTATTCTTAGTTCTTTAATTAATACAATCCACTTCAAATTATATTGCAGACTAGATGTCCAAAAAATAGAACAAAAGTCAACTCCAAGCTCAAATGATCATTATTAAAGCCACAAAACATCCACTATGTGAACAAATAGGCCTTCCTCAATGACAATATCTTAAATATGTACTCCACAATATAAATATTAAAAAAATAAATGGAGGTGTTACTAAACAGATGTTGAACCTCAAAAATATCATCAAAAAATTGTACCAAACGCAAATATAAGTCAAATGAAATTTGGAGCAGAGTTAGACTGTTGTCTGGAGTAACATAGGCTACTTTTACCCCTGAGAATGTGGCAGAAGCTAGTATCATAATATATTATGAGGACATCTTATATCTTATACTTACTTACTTACCTTATATACTTATTAAAGCTGAAGAGTTTGTTTGTTTGAACGCGCTAATCTCTGGAACTACTGGTCCGATTTGAATAATTATTTTTGTGTTGGATAGCGCATTTATCGAGGAAGGCTATATAGGCTATAAAACATCAGCTACAAGCAATAGGAACCGAGCAGGGTGGATGAAACCCCAGAAGTAGCTAGTCAAATATAGTATTTATTTATTTATTTATTTAACTCATTGAGTACCGGTTTTGTAGACACAATTATAGAACAATAGGTTGCGGTCACCGGTGACCGCTTGGTGTTTGACAGTTTAAATAGGTTAGCCAACAATTATTACACTTTTTCATTACTGTTAATAAAAGATATAACACATGTGCGAGTATAATAATCACTTATAGCCTAACACAGCATGCACAATAGTATTAGTTAACAATACACTATTTTTAAATTATGATAAAATAAAATAATATTTATTGAAAAATAATAGTGTAAAAACAAACTGACAGAAAAAAATTTGTTACAATATTAGGAATTCTAAAAAATTAAAATTTTTTTTTTTTTTTTAAATAAAAAAAAAGTAGGAACATAAAATCTCTCTAAATTAACTAAATACGATAATGACGAAGTAAGTATGACAATATCTAATATTTACTCCTCATTATTTTTTTCAGAATGCTCTAATAGCTAGTGAAAAAGAAAGACGGATGGAGAGACTTAAAGCACATTATAGGAATGATGTATGGAAAAAACGGGATTCACCTCCAGACGACTGGGCCAAGCCTTTACCAGAGTGGATGCAGAAAAGAGATGAGAACACATACTTAGCAATCAAAGCTAAAGAAATGAGAGAAGGAAAGGAAGACACAACTGAAAAAAAGTTTTGTTCCATAATGTGACCTAGAATTTATGGTTAGAACTGCTAGCCAATATTGTAGATAATTTATTATTATAGATTTGTTAATTAAACATGTTGTTTAATGTTACTTGTTTGATTATTTTTAGTAATCTTGGTATGAGAGTAATTCCATTGAAAGTGAATGTTTTCTTATCTTACTGTTGTTCTTGCAGTATGTAAACTGGCAGATAGTTTCGTAATGATGTTTGTTTTTCGTATTCCACACGTCTGATAACATATTATTATGCATGTAACTGAAGTAATTAACGTTATGAGAGACTAGTCTACTATGCCTCTACTGTGCTGTCCACTGTTACAAAGCTGTATCTCATAGCGCAACAAAATAACATAACATAACATCATGCCTTTTATCTCCAAAGGGGTAGGTGCACATTATGCCACTGTACAATGCATATTGCATAGACATAATAAAGATTTTTTTTTAATATTTCTGTGGTACAATGTAACACTCTCTATTCGCTGTTTATGTTATGAGTCCCATGTAATAGGGGGTGAGCCTATTGCCATATACCGGGCACAGACTCCGTGCTACTACTGAGATTTTTTTTAAAACCCAGTTATTTTGCCCGACCCGAGAATTGAACCCGTGACCCCTTGCCCGGCAGTCGGACTTGCGACCACTCGGCCAACAAGGCAGCAACAAAATACTTCATCTATTTTCACAAAAAAATAAAGTTAATAACAAATACCTACTGAAAATAAGGTTACAGCAAACATTTTTTTGTTATTTTAACAGATAGGTACCCTTACTGCGTGAGTGCGACTCGTAATCTCGTAATTAGCCGATTTTTTGCTCTGTAAACAATAAGTCCCGTTATATTTTCGTAAAAACTAAAATGTCCATTATTCATTTAAGTAAAAACTTCCACCACAATTCATTATGTTGTTGATTTAAGTTGAGTCAATAACATAATACAAGGGCAAATTAACTACACCATGATAATAATACTGTTTCTCACAAACCGATTGGAAAGAGCTATCAATTACTGCTGACCTAGCAACTGACTTTTTATCAGTCAGATAAGACGCAGTTGTGCCTTTAATTGTTCACAAACATGATAAAATTTGTTTACTGCATATCTCGCCATTTAAATGTTACATACGTATTATAAGACAGACTGTAGTGAGCGACGCACAAATGAGTCGTGTGCTGTGTCGAAGTGTGTTGTCCCTGCGGTTAATACGAGTTCCCATGGCTCGCAACGCGTCCTCTTACCTTATTGACGATCCCAAATATTCCTTCTTGAAGGAACTGGGACTGCAAGAGAAAAATGTGGGCGTGTTCAACGGTAAATGGGAGGCCAACGGCCAGGTGAGTTACCTAGATATTTTACTATTACAATAGTTACCTAGCTAGATACGTACCTAATTACATATTTAATAGATAAGGCAAATTGAACGAAAGTAAAATCACAGTGGGTTGTTTGTCGAGTACTAATAGATAACAAAGTTAGTTTATGTGATATATTTGATATTATTATATAAACGTACCTCGTCTCTACTGTACTTATACATAAGTCGAGCAGTTACATTTTACACAAAGTACCAAAGTAGATATGTAGGTACTTACCTATGGAGTTATATTGTAGGCACCTGTGGAAATAACTACAATACCTAATGAGTACCTAGGTATCCAAAGAAACTTTAAACCTACATAGGCGTGGCCAAACCAGTTTAATTCAGTGAGATCTATTTTTGAAAAATAAGTAGGTAGGTACGTACCTACTATAGGGGCACAGGGGTCAACAACCTGCCACATATAGGTACCTAGCTTCTTCGATATAAAGTTTATGCCTCTCAAGTTTTATTTACCCACAAAAACATAATTTTCTTTTTCTGTCGACTCTTTTAAAACATGTAGGAGGTAATAAATAGTTACCTAACTCCTAGGTCAGATACTTCTTATGCAATCATCACCAAGACAAGACGCGCCCAGTCTGCCCAATATACCTCTAATTTGTCCCCAATGAAAGAACAATAAATCAGTTGCAATAAACAATTTGTAATACAAGAGTTTGCAGTATAAAGGACGTATCAATATTTAACATTTACTAATATAAAAAGTATAAGAAAAAATTAAAACAATACTATAAAATAAAACTTAGGTAAAAATAAAGTACAAATTATAAAACTATAAATTGGTAGATAAGTTAAAATAAACTATATAAAACAGGGTACATAAACTATCTATCAAAAATATAGGTAAATTGTGAACATCAGATTACTTTTTGCCTTTCCCTTTTCCCTTCTTCGTTGGTGGCGGTGGTGGTGGAGCTTCTTCAATTACAGGTTCAGGCTCTGGTGGAGGCGTGGGGGGCAGTTTTTTATCTGGCCATAACCGGAGAACGTACTCAACTATTAAATTAAGATTAATAGTCCGGTACTTTGCTGTTCTTGGACCCGGAAATATTTCCACTAAACCCATAACAAGACTCTCATCTAGTCCTACATTGTCAGCATCTGTACGTTCTTGAAACTCTTTTGTAGTAATCGGTTTTGAGTACTCTTTGGCTAAACTTAAGAGGTACATAGCTGTGTCCACTTGAGTCTTCTTAGACATGCCAAGGTACTGAACTCTTTTAAGAATTAAATTTCTTCCATCGGGCTCCACTATAGTCCAGTTTTGTAAGATTGTGCCAAACGTGCATACGAAATTTTTGCGATTTTTCCTTTTTTTCACTCTTGTCAGTAGTGCTACGAAAGGCTTTGATACACATACGTTTTCTAGCAACAATTGATTTATTTTAATTCGAGGCTTTAACATTAGTTGTAGGACGTTGAATGCATCTTGCGGTGTCATGGGATTAAACGAAAGATTAAATGTAATCAACTTCCTAGCTGATAATAAATTGGAAATAATTGTGTCTATTGCTTCCTTTTGGAAATTGTTATGGCTCAAATCTAATAATGTCAATGTGGGAACCAAGAGAATATTTTTAATCGCATTAGCCACGCGATCTCCTCCAAGCGAATTAAAAGACAACGACAATTCCTCTAAACATGTACTTAATGCCAATTGTTCGAGCATTTTAATTGTAGACGGAACATGATAGAAACAGTTCCACGAGATATTGAGATGTGTTAATCTGTTCGACCACTCGAAAACCTCAGCTAAAGCTGTAGCTGTCAGTCTGCCCAGTTGATTTTTTGATAAATTAACTCGAGTGACGGTAGTATTCAATAACTGCTCAGCGAAATGTGTACCGCCAATATCTCCAAGGTAATTATTTTCAAGACTCAAGAACATCAAAGTTCGATTTATGTGTAAGTTACGGCCTAACCGAAGTATACCCGAGGCACCTATTCGACATCCATCTAAAACGATTTCATTCAATGTGCAGTTATTTGATAACATATGACCAAGATGATAGCAGGCATCATCGTTCAAAAAATTCCCTGTGAGATTGAAGCGATGTACGTGTTTGTTAAACTGTAAAGCCAAAGCCATTGGTCGAACACCTTTATCCTCGACACCATAGTAACGTAAATTGATTTCAGATTTAAGTAAGCTATTGTAAAACATCCTCACTGGACATGTATTAACTTCGTTACACAGATGTAAATATAAAGCCTGGCCATCATCAGAATAAATTGTTTCTTGCTCCGCCTTAAGTAAAGCCTCATTTATGCCAGGATCAGCAACGGGTGGGTAGTTGTAATACAAATGTCTTAAAATAGAGCTGTTTGATACAGTTATATATTTTGCACATAGTTCTCCACTTCCTGGACTGTATAGACCTTCATTATACAGCACTTTCTTTTTATTCTCTTCTAGAATTGCAATTTCTACCGACGACCATTCTTCTGGTGGTTGTTCTACTGAAGACTCTTGTTCTTCTTGTGTCACAAAAATAAAATCAAGGTTCTCGTTTGTTTCACTTTCTTCTTCCATGGTACTTAATAAAATAAAAAAGGAAAAGTTGTTACAAAAATAATATATACATATATATGTTATTATAAACAATCGGGTAACATATTGTCATACTGACAAGAATTTAGACGCCAAAGAGCAGACAAATCCAAATGTATGAAGAAGAGTTGTACCTAAAGATATGGTGGACTCCTTGTAGATAATCTAAACTTGTCAAAACAAAATAGGGCCCACCAACGAACGTACATTTGTCTTGAAATAAGTTAAGAGGTATTGATTACTAAAATAAAGCATTTGATTACGTAGTCAACAACAATTACTTAATAATGTTTCAGACAAAAGTTTGAACGTTTTATGTAAGGAGCTATATAAGCAGAAATAGCGAAATGCTTATAATTAACGTGATATGAACAAATTTCACGTTCAGTTTCTGGTGTTCATTTGCTGCGTGGGCAGATATGTGCTTCTCTTCACTTCATATCCCTTTAACAGCGGTTATCGTCCTCTGCTGGACTACAGGCCTCCTCTACCTCTACATAAGAGAGGTTTCCATAATGCTATGCTTGAAGATCGCAGTTTAAATGTTTAGGTTTATCAAAAAGCGAGTCTTTCCTACACTTCGTAGGGTTTGTTCCGAAAAGTGTAGGATTATTTCACTAAAAGGCATCAAGACTTTTAAATAGACCCTGCTCCGAGGCTCCCACGGTGCAATTACTGCACAACTGGACATTCCTGTCCCTTTTCGTCCCCTTTGAATCTTGGTACGCACTAAGTAGATGGTTAATGGAGTTCCCACTCTAAGTGCACGTAATTCCAAAGATCCACTTGCACCTAAGGAGCACCCTGTGAGATTCTGGCTGGAGATTTGCGTTTTTGGTACCATAATTAAAGGTTTCAGGTTTTAGTACACTCTATCACATCTCGTAAACAAGTCAGCAAAACAAATATGGACCTATAGCCTATAGGTAATTTTGTCAACTATAAGTACATAATATACACATTTTTTTCAGGTAATAAAATCCTTTAGCCCAGCTAATGGCAAGATAATAGCGGAGGTACAAGCAGCCAGTCCTGATGACTACGAAGCCTGTGCGACCGCAGCCCAGGAGGCATGGCACACTTGGGCGGAGCTCCCAGCTCCCGCTAGGGGAGAGATCGTCAGACAAATTGGAGATGCCCTCAGAGAGAAACTACAACCCTTAGGACAGCTGGTTTCCTTAGAAATGGGTAAGCGTTAACATTGAGAAAACAAAGAGTAAGATCCTTGCAGCTAGGTACTTAGCAATGGTGGCCACAGTAGTTACCAATAGTTAGATGAAGTTACCATTAATAATTCTTTTACGTACTTTTACTTATAAATACCGCCTTCAACCCCTGTTTTTTAAGTCGGTTAATGAATATTCTAGAACGTTCTCCGAAGTGTAAGAAACAGTTTTTTAAAAACTGCATCAAAATCGGTTCAACCAATTGCGAGTTAATCGCGAGTAAACATACATATACAGGTCAAACTGAGAATCTCTTTTTTTGAAGTCGGTTAAAAATCGCGTTCCGCGCGCGCCTCTAAGAGTCATCAGACCACCACGAATGGGGCCCAATAGAGCTGGTGCCAATACGGAGCCGCGGAGGGCTTAACGGGTTGTCGGGGCTCCAAGGGCAGAAGTAGGAACGGTGTGGTTTTTAGGCAGTAAGTGTCTAACACTCCCTCCCGCCTCGCCCGGGCGAGAGAAGTCATTCGACGATTTTCCCCACTTAAAAAAAGGATGATTAAGAATACCTAACAACTAATAGTGAATAGTGCTTTGAACATAACAACTACGTTATCATTCAATATACCTCCCCACTGCTCTCCATTGCCTATACAGTGTTTAATTCAGTTTGTTGACACCAGTTGACACACATAATAATTATATCTTACATCTAACATAGCAACTTTAATTAATATTCGATAAGGAAGATAACAATGGCCATGCCTACCACCTATGTGGAAAATAATCTTGGAGATTGGCAAAATAAATTAAAAAAAGCTTTATATGCGTTCTGCCGACATTCTAAAGGGCATCAGACAGATCTATAAATCTGTAAGGTTCCGTAATAAATGAAGTTGAGTATGGGAACCGTCTTATTGTTCTAAAAATTTACTTTGTCCGTGGAAGGAATTCCATAGATTTATTTTCAAACGGTCTTTAGAATTGGTTTGCTTTTATTCACTAGGATAGAACATGTTTTTATAATAACTATCGTGAGACATACTAAATTAAGTAAAAACGCGCGTTACTCGACTGAGGTGAGCTGCGCGACGTCGCCGCGACCGCGCATGCTGCTCATGAGGAAGAACCCCTCTGTGGTTCGAAACTAGTAGAGCTTTTCTCAGTATATTCACGTGAGTAACCCGCGTTTTTACTTAATTTAGGATAGAACATGACGAAAAGAGAGTTTAAGTATTCAGATACACGATGAATCAGACATTGTCCATCTCACTCAATGGGACAAGTTATTAAATGAAGCAATTGGTTTCAGGTAAAATTCTACCCGAAGCTATTGGCGAGGTGGTGGAATACATCCACGTGTGCGACTTGGCCCTGGGTTTGTCACGCACATTGCCCGGCACCATCTTCCCATCAGAGCGACCAGGTCACGTACTCATTGAGAAGTGGAACCCTCTGGGAGCTATTGGCATCATCACCGCCTTCAACTTCCCAGTCGCTGTGTTCGGTTGGAACAGCGCTATTGCCATGGTAAGCATAAGAAATAATTATGAATTTAATTAAGTAATTCATAAACATTGAAGAGACTTGATCTGTATTGGTTCATTGGACGGATTTTGAACTTTCCTTCAGTAAATTCCTCAGAGGAAACACCTTATTAAACCCCTTCTTGAGATGAAATTAAGGAAAAATGTACGGGTAATTATTTTAGTTTATAGCATGGCATATGTCAACATTTATATTAGTAGGTAGGTATACTGTTCAGTTATATTTGTATGTCAGTTCAAGAGGTCTTAAGATGGTGAAAAAAGAAAAACCCGTATTTACTTGTAACATTGATTTAACATTCTTATCTTATCTGTTAGACCAAACGAACAAAAATATAAAACTGTTATCACAAGTAATCACAACTGAATTTTCTAACGAGGTTTTTAATTGTAAGGGCAAGATACTTATCGTAATAATGTTATCTACTACTTTGTTACGTTAGAAACTCAACTAGGCATTCAGCTACCTATATTTAGAGAATGTTTAATAACTATGTAAAATGAGTCTTACATATTGGGGACTGGGTAGGAAGGACTGTACTTATATCTCACTGACTATAGATTGGCATAAATGGACTGATTGGGAGTCCTGAATCCACACAATGTAAATGTCCATTTATCAATATCAAGCCATAATCCACAATCTACCACCAAATCTAAGATAAAAATACTTCCAGGTCTGCGGTGACGTCAGCGTATGGAAGCCATCAGACACCACTCCGCTGGTCGCTGTAGCCGTCACCAAGATTGTGGAGAGCGTGTTACAGAAGAACAATATTCCCGGCGCTGTTGCCGCTCTGTGCGTCGGTGGCAAGGACATCGGCGAGAAAATTGTAAAGGATGACAGAATGAAGCTTGTATCGTTTACTGGAAGCACAGCTGTTGGACAACAGGTAATTTTGGAACGGGGTTTCGACTCAAACTAATTACGAACCCGCCACCACGACAAGCTCCTAATATCCATAATGGCGATAAAATTATCTAAAATCTTTTTGCATCCAGCAAAATATTTTCTTAATTACTATCATTATTTGTCTAAGGTGGGAGTGGAAGTGCAGAGGCGTTTCGGTCGTCACCTGCTGGAATTGGGCGGCAACAACGCCATCATTGTGAACGAGGACGCCAACCTCGACTTATTGTTGAACGCTGCGCTCTTTGCGTGCGCCGGCACTGCAGGACAACGGTGCACTACCACCAGGAGATTGTTCATTCACAAGAAGGTAGGTCGGAAAGAAAACCTTTACTTCATTGTACGTTTGCACGTGTGAATTGTTTCATACACTTCCCCCCCAAGATTGCTGAAAATGAGACTATAGGGTGCTATATTTCTCTAAGTCATAAGTACCAGGTGTTTCAGAGAATAACGTATAACAAAAAATAATTGCACAAATTGCAACTATTTGCAGAAGCTTCATTAAAAATAAACATTACATTTGCAGGTGTACAGTGAAGTGGTATCCCGTCTATCGAAGGCGTTCGCTGGAGTTGTCAGCAGGATCGGAGACCCCTTGCTCTCCGAGACCCTGATTGGACCTCTGCACACACCGGCCGCTGTTGAAGCTTACAAGAAAACTGTCGCTGAAGCTATCAAGCAAGGAGGCAAGATCGAATTCGGAGGAAAGGTAATAATAACTAACAAGCAAATGCCTTGATATTATTTTTGTTCCCCAGATGTGAACACGTCAACGTTTACGAGTCCCGTATACATAAAATAGACTGAACATATGTATTTTTATCATCTATCTAGGTAATGGAACGCGAAGGCTACTTCGTGGAGCCGACTATTGTGACAGGGCTGCCCCACGACTCTCCCCTAGTGAAGACTGAATGCTTCGCCCCCATCGTCTACTGCATCGAGATCCCAGACCTGGACACCGGTATCAAGTACAACAATGAAGTGGAACAGGGACTCTCCTCCAGTCTCTTCACTGAGAACCTTGGAGATGTATTCAAGGTAAAATGACACTTGCGGTAACTTATAAACGAGCCAATACGTAACTATACAATTTGTTGTTTCGGGTCAGGGTGTCACGTGACCACCTGACACACTTTAGAAGTCTTGTGTGGCGCAAGTTTAAATAAAATTCTACTTTCATTCGGCTATCGAACGAGGATTTTCGTCTCTATTACGCTCAAACATCAACATCTTTTATTAGGTATCTATAGCGAACATTTCGTAACGTTGCCTTAAGAGTACCAAAATTGGCAATGACATGCACCCTTATTTCAAGGTGATAAAGATTATATTACATCCACAGTGGATCGGACCTCATGGCTCAGACTGTGGTATTGTCAACGTGAACATCCCTACAAACGGCGCCGAGGTTGGAGGTGCCTTCGGAGGAGAGAAGGCGACTGGTGGTGGTCGGGAATGCGGCTCCGACTCCTGGAAGAACTACATGAGACGCTCCACAGTCACCATCAACTACTCCGGAACCATCAAACTGGCACAAAACATTAAATTCGGAGACGAATAAGATTTATTTTATCAAAACATAATTTTAAGTTCCCTTTTTATTGCATTTACTGAAAACGTCTCGATGTACAATTACTCACTCAGTATTTTTGACCATCTTCATATAAACATATAAGTAGCTTTGTACGATAAGACTGACGAATTTAATTACGAAATAAAATAATAAAACGTGTTTTAAAAAGTAATTCATGTATTTATTTAAGTTTTCTTTCTTTGTCAGTCCATTGTTGTTATTTATAAGATAAAAAATCAACATTTTATTCTATGTAAAAGTAAATACATAGATATACATACATACATTTGATGTTCTGTACATAATATAGAGAAATTATAATTAAAACGTAATTAATTATACTATTTTACTAAAAGACATTTCACTTATCGTATAAACAAAGAAAAGGGTTTATAATCTTTTATTTCAGAAGCTAAACTTCTTTCTAATATGCTTCGTCAAGACAGTTATGATGACATCAAGTCCCATTGAATTTGGTGCAGTCGTTCTGATGAAATGCGCGTACATACACTTCAAAATCTCATATAATATATATTTAACGCCAGTAAAATAACAAAACAAACAGGCAATACATTAATCCCAGTAGAAGTAAAAACCATTTTCTTTGTTTAGTTGAACTATAGAAACGTAATACATAGTATTTATTTATTGTGCATGATATACCCGCCATATATCCACAGCTATGTTCATAGAATTTTGCTTATGGAACCTGTATGTAGCTGGCAACTCATATTTCATCTCCGCTATGACACTCCCTTTCATATCCCAATCTTTAATCTTCTTTTCTATGTGATTCCTGTAACAGTGGTAAACAAGGTAATTATATATCTTATTATTACTATAATACAAAGCTGAAGAGTTAGTTTGTTTGTTTGGACTCCCTAATCTCGAGAACTACTGATTTGAATTCAATAATTATTTTTCTGTTGAATAGTCCATTCATCGATGAAGGCTAGAGGCTATAAAACCACATGGAGCCGCGGAAGACTTAACGGGTTGCCGGGGTTCCGGCTCGTAGTGCAGGAGTACGAACGGGGTGGTTTTTCTTTTTAGTCAGTAAGAGTCTGACACTCCATCCTGCCTCACCCGGGCGAGAGAAGTCATTGGATGATTTTTCCCCCCTCAAAAAAAAAGGATATAAAACTACGCCACGATCAATAAGGGTTGCGCAGAGCGGATGACACGGCGTGGGAGTTTCTAGTGTAAGAAATTGGATAGTACATTAACCACCTATGAGATAGAATAATTAAAAAAGTGTAGGGTCAAGCATGAAGTAGAACACTGTACTGTTTAGTTGTCAATATCGAGTTTTTATATAGTATTGAGTATTTCGCCTTGTGATCGCCGATATGATCGCTGCTAATACAAACATAACATCACGCCTTTTTATCCCCGAAGGGGTAGCCAGAGGTGCACATTACGGCACTTAATGCCACTGTACAATGTAACACCCACTTTTCACTATTTATGTTACGAGTCCCACGTAATAGTGGGTGAGCCTATTGCCATATACCGGGCACATTTCCAGACTCCGTGCTACTACTGAGATTTTTAAAAACCCAGTAATACTTTGCCCGACCCAGGAATCGAACCCGAGACCCTTTGCCCAGCAGTCGCACTTGCGACCACTCGGCCAATGAGGCAGTCTGCTAATACATGTAACTCATATTGTAACTGGTGAAATATGTTCAAGCAAACTAAAGGTTCAACTACTTATAAAGTCAGGGAATAAAATATGTGGCAACCATAAGCTTATGTAAAAAATGTTCGGTATAATCACCTAGTGCTAGTCTTGTGTAATGAGTACACACTGTCGCAGCTAAGGAGAGTTCCCATTCGGAGGAACTTCATGTCAATACCAGCATTGTTCTTTGTGCCGAATGGCGGGTTCATTAGCACTGTGTCAAAGTAACCCTCCCATCTGAAAGTAGTGTAAAAATTTTATAAATATCTTAAGCAGATACAAACAAAATACTATCCTCTTCTCCATCTCTCTACAGCGGAACTCCGGAAAGTTTGGTCCTCGAGGTGGACGTCAAGGGGATTAAGGCTGTTCTTGGAGTGGTTTACTGCCCACCTGCCATAAACTATTTTTCTCACCTAGAAACTCTCTTCGATACTTTTTCCTCAGAGTATAAGCATCACATAATCATGGGGGATTTTAACACTGATCTAACAAAGACTACTCCTAGGTCTCGTGGGCTGAGGTCGATCTTTGATTCTTCGAACCTATCACTTCTCCCACTAAATCCGACCCATTGTAATGTTGGATCCGATGATTCTTGGCTCGACCTCATGCTCGTGTCTTCCCTAGATCATGTCGTTAATCATGGACAGGTCGCGGCTCCTGGTTTGTCAAGGCACGATTTGATCTACTTATCATATAAAATCAAGCCTCCTAGGCGGCGACCCGCATTCGTATATATTCGGAACTTTGCGAGGATAGACAAGGTCAAACTTAACAGTGATGCTCAATCTATTGACTGGACCGACGTGTATCAATCGACTTCCATTGATGACAAAGTAAACAACTTGAACAAGTCTGTCCTTGAACTTTTAGATTCTCATGCGCCTTTGAAGGCAGTCCGTGTCAGGCGTCCACCGGCTCCTTGGATCACTCAGGGGGTCCGAATGGCCATGAAGCGTCGAAATAGGGCTTTCTGCAGGTATAAGAGGGATCGTAGCGAGGAGAACTGGGGATTGTACAGGATAGCGAGAAATCGGTGTAATCAGATGGTGAGAGCTGCCAAACGCCGATACATTTTTGATAATGTTCAAAATTCTTCACAGGCTGATGTATGGAAGTTCTTAAAAACTTTGGGTGTTTTTAAGACGTCATCCAGTGTTTTGCCTCCAAACCTTTCACTTAATAGTCTTAACCTGCATTTTGCTACATCGTCTGGTTTGGCTGATGCTGTTAAACTCCAAACCATTTCTGAAATAACTTCCAAGCCTATGTCACTCCCTGATACTTTCTCATTTAGTCCTGTGACTGAACTAGACATTCGACGAGTTTTTGCATCGGTCAAGTCTAAGGCGGTGGGCTGTGACGGGGTGGGCCGTACCATGATTTCCTTAATTACCGACCACTTCCTCCCTATTTTCACTCACATAATTAACTTCTCATTATTTTACGGTGTATTCCCCTCAATCTGGCAAAAAGCACATATTATTCCACTTCCTAAAATCCCTAACCCCTATCTGGCCAAAGATTTCAGACCCATTTCAATTCTCCCTTACCAATCAAAGATCCTCGAAGCAGTTGTTCATAAGCAAATCTCTTCCTACATCTCAAAACACAAACTACTGTCTTCTTTCCAATCAGGTTTTCGGCCCGGCCATAGCACTTCTACCGCCTTGCTGAAAGTCACTGAGGATGCGAGGTATGGTATGGGGGGCTCGAGGTTAACTGTGTTGGTTTTAATCGACTTCTCCAACGCTTTCAATACGGTCGACCACGATGTCCTCCTAGCTATATTAACTCAGTCTGGATTCTCGTTGTCGTCTCGGGAGTGGTTTTCGGCTTATCTTCGTGGTCGCCAGCAGGCGGTTCGCATTGGTCAGGAAAACTCTGACTGGTGCGGGCTGACGGCTGGTGTACCGCAGGGCGGTATACTATCTCCTCTGTTGTTTTCTTTATTCATAAATTCTATCACTAGTCGTCTCACGTGCTCTTATCATCTGTATGCCGATGACTTGCAACTGTATGCTCAGGCTTGTGCTGCTGACTTGCGAATCTGTATTCAGCATCTTAACGCCAACTTGCTCACTATAGAAGAGTGGTCTAAGAAGTATGGAGTCACCATTAATGCTGGTAAGTGTCAGGCCATTGTGTTGGGTAGTTCCTCTTATTTAAACCGTTTGAATATAAATCACCTCGAACCAATAATATACAATAAAGTTGTTATACCGTTGTCTCCTTACGTAAAGAATTTGGGTCTATACCTGGATGGTAGCCTCAGCTGGAACCATCAGGTTGCGCAGGTTGGTAAGAGAGTTACTGCTACGCTGCGATCTCTCTATAGATTTAAAAACTTTCTGCCCCCAAATACAAAAGAGTTACTGGTCCGGTCCCTTGTGCTTCCTGTTATCGATTATGCTGATGTTTGTTACTCTGACCTATCCCAAGACCTTCTGAACAAATTGGATCGAATGCTCAATAACTGTATCCGTTTTATCTTCGGTCTTCGTAAATACGACCACATTTCTTCTTTTCGCGATCAGCTAAAATGGCTTCCTATCCGTGAGAGAAGATCTCTTAGATCTCTCTGCATGCTTTTCTCTATTCTGAATGATCCTTGTGCTCCTGAATACCTAAAGTCTTGCTTCCAGGTACTGGGCAGTTCTCACAGCCGAAATCTCCGTTCTGCTGAAAATCTGCTTCTTGAGATTCCGTCCCACCGAACATCCTTCATTTCTAACTCTTTCACAGTTAGTGTAATTAAGTTATGGAACGCATTACCGCTTAAAATAAAAAAGGCTCCAAATAAGATCACTTTCAAACGCGATGTTCACGAATTCTTTTTAAAGTCACTACAACGCTGAGTCTAGGTCTATTCCTATTATATATGTATTATTATAGAATTTATTTATTTAGTATATTTATGTATATACGAGCACACATATATGTTATATGTACCTATATATTTATGTTGTATTTATATTGTAGTATAAATTTTAAATATTTTTAGTACCTTTCTATATTTATAAAGTCTATTTATGTTATTTGTTTCTAATAATTACACATGCCTATTTTTTCGCAGATTTCCATTTTAACCCTAAGGTTGACTGGGAGAGAATGCCATATGGCATTAATGTCCGCCTTATGTACCATTACTTGTTTGTGTGTACATTAAAGTTTAAAAAAAAAAAAAAAAAAAAAAAAAAAAAAAAAACAAATCTTCACATTATTAAAGTTTCAGATTTGTTTTAAGAATGACAATGCTATTTCAGAAACCTAATAATAAAGGTTCAATTATAATTTCTAATAATAAGTTTGAAATCGCCAGTCTGCCTTGAGAAAGTGTGGTGATCAATGATTATCCCTTCTTTGTGTCAGAAGAGACCTTTGCTTAGCAGACTTTTGCGGGCATGGATGCCTTTAAAAATTAAGTAGAAATAAAAAATAATACAGGTTACACACTACCTAGCAACTCTTGGATCTAGAAAGTCACACTGTACAGCATCCACATTTGTCAGTTCCATCTCTTCAACATTTTCCTTGAATACTTGCAAGACATCACCATCGATATCTACAGCTGTAACTATGCTGGCTCCCAGCAAAGCGGCGCCGATACTCCAAATGCCGGGACCACAGCCAGCATCCAGAACTGTGCAGTTTTCTATAGATTCAAACTGTGTCTGTAATAAAAGTGGAATCTGTGTAAGTTTTCTGATCCACACTGAACTTGTTTACACACAAACTCTAAAATCTACAAAGAAACTACAGATTACAATCATATTGAAAGTGTCATTTTTTTATAGGTGTCTCATTACCAATAAAAATAATATCAGACATGATCATTTTCAATTTCAATTGAACTAAACAACATTCCCAAGATGGAACAAGTCAGTAATTACAACTACCACACATCAAGTCTTTCATCACTTAAACTGTCAAACACCAAGCGGTCACCAGTGACCGCAACCTATTGTTCTATAATGACAGTACTCGACGAGTTAAACTTACAAAACAGGTGTTGAATATTACCTGTATGGTATAAAGAGCTGTAGCAGCAAGATGGGCCGGAGTTTCATATTGTTCAAATTTAATTTTTGGATTTTCAAATCCATTTAGACCCTCCAAATGACCTTGCAGGGTCTTCAGCTTCATTAAAGCTGACATTATGTCCCCCTTCACTTGTTATCGAACCTGGGTAGAACAGGAAGTATCTGGTTTCCAAATGAGGAGTCTTGGGAGACAAAGTAGCCACAGGATGTGGCGTTTGCGTGTTGTAAGGCTGCTCTGTGGCTTGTATTTACAATATTTGCTTCAGGTAGTTGAGGGAAACCCTGGAAAAATGTTTATAGTTAAGTTCTCAACATAATTATAATAAGCTCAGCATAATAATCTGCATCTAAACAAATATGTTAGTTTACAAAAACACCAATTACTTTTGTCTCTTGGTACTTACTGCAGTAGCTGAAACTGGAGGGATTGAGCACATAGGCAGCTGACTGACAGGGTTTGGCTGTGTCAGAGATATGGAGGTGGCGGTCAGAGGAGCCACTGCACCTTGCTTCAGCAGCATCTGTTTCTTTAGTTGCAATTCTTCTAAAATTTTCCTATTCGTCAGTTCTGCAAATAAGAATATTATAGGATTAGGTGTATTGACACATTATACCAAAAAAGGTCGTATGGTTTTGATTTTTTAATATAGGAACTACATATAACTTCATGATAATTTTAAAAAGTAAAAACAATGCTTTTGTCTTCAAGCAACCTAGTGTATACCTATTGAGTGTGAGAGTGTTAACATTGAAGACTTGAATATTATAACTAAATTGTAATACATTACACGATAAAATCACCATTAGCTAAAATATTAGATACTGTTAGTATTTATTATGTTTACCCATCATGTGATTTTAATATTCAAATGAAATTGAGCCAAAACTAACCTCTTTGTGCGTTAGGCTGCGGAAACGCCATCTAATATCTTGCTAATTAATTTATTTCTAGACATAAACAATATTGCCTAGAAAGTTTAGTATAATGAAATAATACTAAAATGACTACAATTTACAAAAATGTACACATAGAAACAAAGTTTACAAAATTGCAATTTGGTTGGCCTTTGACAATGACATTGGTTTGACAAATTGACAAATAAGCTGCGTGCGTGACAGTCAGTGTGACATTTTGTCTGTCAGTATTTAGGGAAGAGATGCGTATGCGAAACGGAACGTGTTGAATACGGTTTTTGTAAAACAAGTTTTAGTAATAATTAACATAAAATATAAAATAAATAAATAAAAATACATTTCTATCTTAACTACTTTATATAAGGCTCTCTAAATATACTCCAACTAAAAATATTGATAATTTCATAAAATTCAGAATTCACTGACCGGAACCAATTCTGCCAACTTATCTACATCCGTTCAGTAATTCGTATTTTCCGCAATTACCGGTTATGAGGTAACTAAGTATTTATTGACCAGCTCATGCTGTGCATTAATAATACAATTAGAAAACCACTTTCATTAAATGTCCAGGCATTGAACTTTCAACGTGCATTTAGAATCTAAATGTCGAAATATTTTTAAGATTACGTGTCTCCAAAACGTGGAATACCTAAGTTTCCAACTAAGCTTTATTCCAGACATAAAGGTCATTCAACTTTCTGTCTAGTCGGCGCTTGAAGCAGCGTGGTTTCATAATGCCACAAGTACAAAATCTTCAGATTTAACCCATGACCTAGATACTAGATCGTATAAAATATTAATTTATGGAGATACCTAAGTTTAATGTTTCTAAATTAAACTGTTTACGAAAAATATCTTAACATCACGCTTGTTATTTAGATAACGGAAGACAGAGTTAAATTTTATAAAACTGTCAGGGCGTGTTCAATCAGTCAAGTGTCTTGTTGCTCTCGATATACCATTTGGATCGGTAACTCATTGCAGACATTCAACAATGCATCAGAATATTATTGTGGACGTCTCTCGCTCGTGTATCGAACTAGAAATCTTTTTACTTGACAAATTGCACTTACTACTACTTGTCATCAAGGCAGAATGCATCAGGAAGACAGCAGCTTTGCTAAAAATTCGGATGGCTTATTGTTACCGAGAGTCACCCTGTGACCTCCAAATTACCCCGACACCGATCCTTACGTTGAAAGTATTCGAATGATAGAGAGTAGGTGAAGTAAGGACATTTACACAATTACAAAAAGCCAGTTTGGATTTTATATAAAAGCATTTATTTTAAAACAATGTAGGTAATAATATACTTTCTGATTCTTGGCAAAACAGTCTCACATAAGCAAGTCAACATTTGGCCTCTCTTAAGAATAAACATAAGACTAACATGCGCTGCCATAACTCACAAATGAATAAACTGAAATATCAGATAAATAATAAAAAAGGACAAATATAAAATTATTTCCATACATCTACATTGCAGTTAGCATTGCATCTTGGTTGAGCAATCTTAGATTAATTTGTTTATTAACGTAAATTATTCTAAATAAAAGGGAACATTAACATTACTAGAATTGACTCACAATATTAGCATATATAAAAAAACCATCTACTGTACCTAATTAACAGTTTTCACAGACGCAGACATTACAGTCCACAATGAGTTTGTGGTTAATATTGATAAAATTTGATAATAAATGCACAACAAAAATATAATTTAAGTTGCCTTTGTCTTTTAAGTTTATAAAAATATATAACAATTTAGAAATAATTATAACAGTTCATCTATAAACAATTTGGAATAATATTGCACAAGCTCAAAGCTAAATTATTATGTGCATTTTTCATAAATACTATAAATATAACAACAAACCAACACAACACTTCGTAACTCTAAATAATTAGGTTTTATGACTCGTCTTTCAATGACACACTTTATTGTTTAACCATCGACAACTACAATCCAGGACACGGGAACATCAGTAGCTTGCCATTGCTCGATCTGTTACTTAATTTTAGAGGAAAATTAGACCATGACAAATTTCAGCCGCCGTTGCGTAAATCGCGATTATGTTCCTAAAACTAATCTAACTAATAGAAAAATAATATCACAGGCAAACATGTCAATTTTGTAAAGTAAGAAGTTTTCAACCGGGCACAAAGCTTTGCTTGGCCCTTTGGTTTCGTCTCTATTAGTAAACTAGTATTTATTACAACTGAATTCAAATAGGTTGATGGATTAATAGTTGTAAATATCACTTGATAGAATACAACGTGGATGGATTGGAACTAGCAGAACGTCACAAGGGGCTAAATGTGGTGTACGTGTACCTAAATATAAAAGCCCCTCTATTTAGGTAGAATACAAACATCTACAATGATATAAGATACACAATGCTTATCAAATATCTAGTCAAAGTTTTACAATGCAAATGTTCTGATTATAGTTGTCGATCTAAATCCGTAATTTTAGTTTACAATGTGGTCAAATTTCCAACATAGGACCGAATTCATAGCGCCGTAGATACGGCAATTCAATTTCCACAATTGCCCTAGAGTTATTATACCAAATGATATATCTAAGGAACTCCAGTGAGGAAATATTCTTTTAATTATCATACTCTACAATACTAAAAACTAAGAACCGTTAACCGCGAGAACAAAGCGACCACATTGTCCCTCACCACCACCATCACCGAGTGTTGGTTTGTTAGAAAATATTTTCACAGCACAGGAACAAACACATTCTGGACTAAATAAAATCTGAAAATGATAACAACATTTGTTTTTAAAGACTAGCACGTAATTTTGGCACAACGCTGTGTCCTCTCAGAGCACAGTGGCATCGATGTTGTTCTCTTTATATACAAAAGTTTAAAGATTTTTGCTCAGTGAAAACTAAGTGTGGAGTGGACCGGACGCGGCCGGAGACGGGCCAGACTCGAGTCTCGCCGCGCCGCAGTCGGGCCACTGCGCGCGACGCCCGCAGCTTGCCGACCGAGTGCGTCCCACCCACTCATCATTAACAATTATTAGGGTTTCACAAAGCTTACTACGACCAAAGTATCAGGAACAATGTTATTAGATTTCAATTATTATTTATTTAACAATAGCAAGCAAAGTAAAAATACATATTTTCTTTATAATATTTGTGCCCAATGTGTCATGTTCGATGTATCGTTTTAAATTTATTTATGAAACCCTAAATTATAGTGACCGATTGTATCGTTCACATTTGATATGGACAGCTGCCATTACAATCATAAAATGCAAAATAATGTATATTAAATTTAGTACAAAATTATCGTAAATAATTAAAAAAAAAACTTATTTGAGTAAATAAATTCTCTTGTTCCATTGCTCATTCAGTGCTATAAAGATCAGAGTGTAAAAATAACTGTATTCACAGCGTGGGAAGCTTGTTCATGTAAAAAGACATTACCCTGTCTCAGGTGGAGGTTAGGTTAGTTATTATTTCGATAATTTCATTATTACTTTTAACAACAAATTAAATAAAAGTAGGTATCAAAACTATGCTAGGTTGAAGTTAGGTCAAGTGCTCGGCTGTACGACGAGGTACTTTTATTTTTACACCCTGCCTCAATGAGTATTTTACCCCAACAACACTCTTAAATCCAAACAACAGTACACACCTAACACTTTCCCTGTATAAATATATTATAGTCTTGTAAAAGAAACCTTCGAAACCTCATAGGTCATTAACACTACGTGAGAAATTACACAAGAGCATTAGGATACAATATATTGCTACGAGTTAACTTATCATTTGGCACTAAATTAACATATTGCATCTCGAGCATTCGTCACAAATATATATACTTGCAAATCCTTTAAACTCTCAATTTATCATTTCTAAATTACAATTAATTCATTTAATTTTCTAATGATATTATTTTCATTGGGCCAAAAACTTCCATGTTCTATGTGAATGTGTTATGAACTATAAACGAAATACAAATATTTCATATATTGAGCAATCTGTCCATTCCCTTCTCACTTTCAAATACCTAAAGGTGTTTTAGTAACGGGAATGTGTGCTATACCAAACGTAAAAACACGAAATTAATAGACAAGACGCATTCTCGGCAAGTAAAATTTGGCAAAATTGAGCATTAAGACTTTCAATTGGCATCGTAAAACATTACATAATAGTAAGATTTTACTACGTAGCACTGCGTGACTACTTATATATCCTAACTCTGGTAACTGTAACTTATTATAGGTACACCAATCTCTTACAGTTGACTGCTAAAGATGTGCGAAGTGTACTGTGTAGTGTACACGACTCGGACCACGGAAACGGCAACTATTTGTACATCGACCAACACTACGACCGAGTGACGTCACACCGCAGGGCAGCCCACGACCGAACTAATCCTCTCCAGCTCAACCAACAACCACCAAGTCGTGGCCTGCTGCTGCGTCTACTGTCGCGAGCCTTGCAACGGGTTATGTCCGTTTCAGTGATCCGTACATAATGATTATGTTATTTGTACAAGATGTACAAAATAGTGAAAAAACTAAGTATTACAAATTGATATGACGTAAACGTGAGACTTTATCATTATGAGAATTTAGTTATCGTTCAAAAGAACTATATATGACCGTGGACTTCTCAAGAGATCTTTCCAATTTACTAACTACATTTATAACAACTTGGTTAAAATAGTATTTAAAAATGAAATAAATCGTTTCTTTATCAAATAATAGTTATTGCTTTTTTGATATGATAATTACATCTGGTGGCAGATGGTCAGCCAGAGAGGCGCGGGGGCGCGGGCTGCGCTAGGCGCGCTCCGCGGCCCCCGGCGCCCCCCACTGCTACTCCTACGTCACCTTATCATACAGACCGACTGTACAATATTATAATTACGTTATAACTCTTAAATGTATATTTTAAAAATATGACTGCTTTATATCCATCATGATCACAGCTCTCCAAAGACTTTACAATATCCAAACCTTGACGCTCCAAAATAAATTCTTTATTATCATTTACACCTATAAAACGAAATGACTATAATATCTATAAGATAGCTCTAAAAATTATGCCATTTTGATATATTTACTTTGCAATTGCAACGGTCCCTCGTACAGCACTTAAATGCCTCATATACAAATTTTAACGTAACGTTGAAAATGACTCGATTTATATTTAAACATAAAATATAGAAAGCAATAAAACGACTGACTCGTGTCTATAAAAAAAAAATTATTATTAAAAAAACAAAATACCCGACTGCACACTAAAAAAAGAGTAAAACAAGCCCCACAATAATATTGATCAATCAAATGCTAAAAACTAATTATGTAATACCGTTTAAACAATACCTATATTAAAATACACTACAATATGTGTTCGTAATCGATAGTTAAATAAACAGAAACTTATTTTGAATACAAATTTACTGAATATAATTTATAAATGTTGATGGAATGCATCGCAGGCGGGGACCAACAGAGGCTTATTTATAGTCATTTCGGTTGTGCACCATTTAGCAGAATTTTCGTTGGTGGCGGTCAAGGTGGTCCCCGCCTGCGATGCTTTCCATCAACATTTATAAATTATATTCAGTAAATTTGTATTCAAAATAAGTTTCTGTTTATTTAACTATCGATTACGAACACATATTGTAGTGTATTTTAATATAGGTATTGTTTAAACGGTATTACATAATTAGTTTTTAGCATTTGATTGATCAATATTATTGTGGGGCTTGTTTTACTCTTTTTTTAGTGTGCAGTCGGGTATTTTGTTTTTTTAATAATAATTTTTTTATTTATAACTTTTTAGCTGTTTTTATTTCGATATATACAAATAGGGATATATCGAATAAAATCGCTATTTAGAGACGACCGTCAACGACGTGTGCCCTCATGCGTGTGCCCGCAATCGGGCTGTATACTCGAGCATATCCCCCTCCGCACCGCGCCGCGCGCCGCATGCCAGGCCACGCCCTATCTTTTTGCTTGCTAACGCATGAGTTGCTTTGCGTTGACGCAGAATTAACATGTTCCCGTGGGAATTTTGAGAAAAAACGTATCCTATATTAATTACTCCCGTGATTGAAATGAATCTAATGATACCGCATACATATTTTTTTAAAGGGAAAATTAGAAAAAATATTATTATGTCTTTATCCCGTGGGACTTTTAGGATAAAATGTATCCTATGACACTCCCGTAATCAAGACAAATCTAACGATACCTCATACATCAAAATCCATCAAGCCGTTTAGGCTACAGGTGGTCACAAAGGAAAAGACATACATACATACTTACATACACTCGAAAAACATTACCCTCCTTCTTTGGCAGTCGGGTAAAAAATTTAGAAATAAAGCGGCAGTGTTTGCGAAAATTGGTGCAAATAGAATCTAACTACAAAACATGTCTTAGGAACCTGATAAATTATTGCTAGAGCTTCGGGCACGACTCCACTCCCCTTCCTTACAAACGACAATGCATCCCCGGCGCGGCCGGCAGATACATAACGAGATAAAATCTTATCAGTAGCCAATAGAAAAATATCACCTAAATAAATATGAATATTTTACACGGGCAACTCACCGTCGTCGTTCGTGGTCGCGTCGCCGCGCAAATAAATATAAATCTTTCCAAACGATCGACGGGAGCCCGTCCGCGACCGAGCCGGCGCGCCGCGACCTACGAACGCGCCTCGAGAGCGACGAGTATCTTTATTTTCTCTTCTTTTTTTGGTAAAAAATAACAAGATTATGAAATTGATATGCAACACCGCGACCATCACTGCGCTTCGCCATCCTCCTCCGCGCCCGCGCCCCCCGCCCCCGCGCCCCGCGAGTACTCGCCCGCGCCAGACCCCGCGCCTCCTCCGCCTGGGCCTTTCGAGGCATCGCTGCAACAATTTAGAACTACACTCAGCATATCTCCCTTCAGACTTAAATAACAGCACCAGTAACCTACCATTAATAATTACATATGCCAACAATCTAATATAAATTGAAAATGATTGCGTTAAGGTTGAATTTAATGAAGCAGACTTACTAGTTAGAGTAGGAGGAGCGCGCACTCCCGCCGGGCGCGTCGACGTCGCAGGGAGGAGGCCGCGCGGCCGCGCTCAGCAAGTAATTGGTCGAATCGCTGAAACAGTTCGACAGCCTGCTACAAATTGTATTACTGCCTCCAGTAGCGCGGTATACAGATACATACATGATACCAAAAGTTGTAAATTTTGCCAATCATAGCTCTTTTAGTAAATGTCCCATTCTAGATTATAACTGAAGATAATTAATATTTGGATAAAATTTGTAAAATTACTTTAATAATATAAATTTTAGAACACTTTAGTTTAATTGTCTTGATGGATTTAGTTATTGTAAAAATTATATACTATATTTTCCCATCTCTAGAGATCTGCTAATTTAAAACAATTTTAACTGTGGACATATTTTTTGAATGAAATAAAATAACTGCAAAGTAGTACTATTATAGAAACATAATAACAGACCAAGTTGATCTAATTGAATTCTACCATACTAACAAAGGTCAGCAGAACTAAAGGTTACGACTGATAATAAAAATATGACCATTGAATTCCATTGATTGTGTTGTCTACGACTATTTAGTAATAATATAATATAGAGTTTTTAACTTAATACATTGGGACGATCATGGCGGAAAATAAATACTGACTGCACGGTTGGCGCGGTGGCTGGACAACTGGCTGCCGCGCAACCTGTCGCGGGTCCGATTCCAGCAAGGAACAACTCTTTTTTGTGATCCACAGACTGTTGTTCCGGGTCTGGGTGTCATGTATATGAGAACTTGTATGTTTGAAAAACGCACCCACGACACAAGGGAAAACCCTAGTGTAGGGCAACGTAAAAAAAAAACTCAATACATGTACTTTATGTGTTTCTGTTAAATTTAATTACTTACTAAATTTAACTCGGAATAATGAGGTGGTGGGTAGAGTTTTATTAATTAATATGACCTGAGAAGACAAAAAATCGTGATATCGTAAAGTCAATCTTCATGTCGATGACACACAGTTACGCACTATAAATGAAATGAATAAATTAGTGCTGTAGTACTCAAGCAGAAGCATAAATAAATATATTATTTAAAGAATTCCTTCAAGTTGAATGTCATGGGTCGACACTGCCCCCAACATTATCAGTCGTGCGGTTTGCTATCTCAATGTTATGTTTAGCACAATGTACCAGCATGGCGAAAACACTGTCTCAGTAATGACATATTTAACCGATATCATTATTTATGTATGTCGATGTCGAGGCATTCTGTGATGTCATGTCGCAACGTACTCATGGCGATAAGCATGGCACACATGGTGGGAGATAACCTCCCTCACATTTCTTAAGATTAATAAAAATTAAAGTGTCTTTATCATCAAATACTAGAGTAGGTACCTACAGCGTCCGTCAGGTCATTATACCTATCACTTTAGTAGGCAAATATTCACAAGATATAAGAGCAGAAATGAGCGGTCCCCTACGCATTAATACTAGTAATCAGTTCAAAAGGTTTTCATGTTTATTTTTGATGATTACAAAACATTTATAGATAAGCAAGCAGTCGTCTCATTTATAAGGTGATTAGGGTTTTGTGTTCAGTTCATCTTATGGCTGACACTAAATAAAATATACAACTTTATCTTTTCAAAATTCATGACTAAGTTCTAATAACAGTGACCATTCGTGATAATGGTAACTGGCAAGTGGACTATAAGTCTTCGCTACATAGAGGGTTTGCACAATCCTCTCACATGCTAGCAGATTGGATATAGCAAATTAAATGATTCAAGATTATCAGATAGTTCTGCAACCTAATCTGTTACACGAGACTGCGTATTTAGCTCCTACGACATTCACGTGAAAATTAGGGGTAATCACGAATGTATCTACTCTGCCCTGAGCACATGGCACAGACAATAGGAAAGTATCATGTAATAAATCCAGGTGATACCGAAAATAATGAAACTTGACGTATGGTGTCAAGTGTAAGTTCACCTGGCGGTCCTCATCCTGAGCGCGGCGCAGTTCTCCTTGCACTTGTAGGCGAGCACCTGCTTGATCCTGCTGACCTCGACGTCGGGGAAGTGTCGGCTGACGTAGGAGATGAGCGCGTGCACGCGGCGCCGGTCCAGCGGCGGCTTGGTGGGGCGCGACTCCTGCCCCGCGCGCGACCAGCGCTGCCCCGTCACCGAGCACGTCGCCAGCTCGATGGGCGAGAACAGCGCCGCCGCCAGCCCGCGCGTCACCTTGCGGTAGTCGCCCCACTTCACGCCGCGCAACAGCTCCTCGCGTATCTCCACGCCCTCACCCAACTTTATCTACGAGATAACACAAAACATATTATTATAATCTCTTTGCTTTGAAATCTATATTGTATATCTATTTATCATACGATTTGTAAGCGTTGATGCTCAAATGCCCCCATGGACAGCCCCAGAAGAAGAATGGAGAAGATTATAAAATAAAGTAATTTAAGTTTATAACATTGTGTAAATCTTTGTTCGATTCAATGAATGATGTCTATCTACTAGTAATGGTATAGAAGGATTGCAGAATGTAAAACTTACAAGTCTAGGTGCGGCGGCTCCTCGTTCGTTCTCTCGTTTGATGACGAAGGGCAAGGCGCGTCGGTGTTGCTCCAGCCAGACGGCGTCTGGGACCGGACGGTTGCGTCTACCATCCCACCTTCCTACAGCTAGTACACACACCACAAAACATTACACCAAGTCCAACAACTTTATGAGGATGAACAAACATAACGATTCTCATAGATACTTGTCTCGTTAGAAAGACATACGTAATCAATGCGTAATACGATAAGTGATAGGCGACCATGCAGCATTATTCAATAACTTGATAAATTTTTAATTCCAAGGTTATAGTTTAATGTATTTCGCTGAGTGAAATATCAAGGTAAACCCGTTCAACACGACCCACTGGTAACTAAAAAGCACAATTTCTTCGCAATACTTTATTTCTTGATATTTAGTAAAAAATACATTGATGTATGTACACAAGTTTAATAATCTGCACAAAGCGAATGTGCAGACAAACGTAGTAATTACATTTAATTAATTCTCACATTAAAGGTAGACAAAATTAGCAGTCTGTAATTGCTTGCGATACTAAGTAACAAGAATATAACGGATAGTTGGAAACTAGTCAACACAATATATTGAACGTCTGATTGACCATGTTTGAAAGCGGGACGTTGTTACTATCACCTGCAGTCGATCCAATGCACTCAACACGTATCGCCGCAGGTACTATAATGTGTTGTTAATTGCACTCAATTATAAAAGTATAATTCTTCTGTGTTAACGACATCAATGAACATTATCATTATATTGATAGAATTTCTAGTTTTATATAATTTCTATTTAAGTCAGCGCTGTGAAGAGATTCATTTCATTTTTGTATATACATTTTTATTTTTTTTCTTTAATATAAGAATATGACAATAATAAAAGCTGCGCCTTAAATTATTAATTGGGATTAAAATTATTATTTAAGAAAAGTGCTTTTTAAAATTACTATTACTAATACGTATAAGCGATTATTTTAGATTAATTATTTATTATTGCAAAAAACGCTCGTCCATAATATTTTAAATATTAAACAGTGTTAAAAATAAATGCAAGATCGAAATTTGGAGATCATGGAAATAAAATCACTTGAGATCACACATTATTCCAATAAGTTTACAATTAAATTTTCAAAAGATAAACTAATATTGTTACTCACAACCCTAATCATACCTTTAAGAAGTGTCCCCCCCTCTAAATGCTTTTTATTACAAAATGACTAGATGTGCTTTTTTCATGGCAATCATTTAAATACATCTACAAAAACATTAAAGAAATAACCGATCAAAATTTAAAGTTCTATAAAAAATATAAAAACGTCCCTCGTCTATGGTCTACCGTAAATAAAGCTGGTAGTGCTAAGACACTGGGCTAGTGGGGAGTATGGCAAGTTGTGGTTCAACAGTACATAAAATATACTATCTATTGCTTATATACTCAACATAACATCAACAGCTACGCTCAGCCTCGTAGCGTTCTAATTGCTTCAATTCTATTATTATATTGTATATGATTAAACTCTTGTTTGTTTGTATATAAATGAATTAGGGTACCGTAGCCACCTAACTAGGAGGCTGTATACTTTTGTGGCCCCATCGACATATAATCGCTATTGTATAACCTGCTTCGGATTCTCATAATATTCTTTAACTAAAACAGTATTCTTATAAGTACTAGAAACAATGCGAGGATAAACTATAACCATCATATTAATTGAACAAATAATAAACTTGACCTAAGCTAGCGGCACCCTTAGCAAGGCAGTTTAACGTGCATTCGGCAATATTAACAAATAATGATATTCATAATATATTTACTATTTATTATTGTGTAATAAAATCGATCGGAAGCCACTGGTTGAATGGAAATGTTAACTGATAATTTAAACATGGTGAGCATATCAACAATGCACAAGGCTTGGTATGGCAACAAAACTGTGGTGTTCCACCCTAAATAACTAATGTATCGTAGGTATGTATCATTTTAATATACGATTTCTGAAGACTTACTATTCATTATTCTGAGATTTTGTACAAACTATTTACCGGGAGCCGTCCAATCACTCAACAATAACATTGTGTAAAGATAAAACTATTGTGTATAAAAATATCACTATTGTAGTTGAGCGCGGACTTATGGACACTCAAAGCTTCGTACATAAGTCCGCGTATTCGACAAATAAAACGGATATGGTCGACACTTTCCGTCGTCTGCAGTACAAAAAAATTATACTCTATTATGAAAATACACCTATTTTATTTATTATTTCTATCTCGGACAGATAGTGTCGACCAAATGTGGATAACGTGTATAATGTCTGTATGTATAATAATTATGTAACCAGTAAATAACCTATGTTATGTAAAATCAGCACCGGTTGCAACAAATGCTTCAACAACAATCAGTCTATTGTCAGAAAGGAAGGTACTGTACGTGTCCCTTAACGAGCTTCAATTAGTCACTTAACTAGAACCCTTATCCACCATGACTCAATGGTCGTACGATCACTTTTATGACTAAAATGTGGGTTTCCTATAGGTATATTATTAACAAAATTCCCCTTACTCCTCAATGACGCAGGATAGAATTTTACAAAATAACCGTCAAAGGACCGGCCACCCGCTACTACATGTAATATGATCAACATACTTCTATTATTGCTATGTTAAACTATTTATAGAGAAAACCTCTTCCTACTAGACAGTAGGAGGTACTAAAAGAAACTCGTTAATGCGACGCATATCTCGCACTCGGTATATTATAGAAAGGCACACAATAAGCGGAGAGGTGTGACGGCAAATAGGCCCCCGGCGACACTCCGATCACAGACTAGATATATCTATTGACAGTCTTCGTTACGACTTTATAAGCCACATCTTCACGACTTCGCCATACGAAGAGACACAACGCTACATTCTTTATACTATATTCAGTATGTATCATAGCAGTGGAATGCTATAAAACGATTTCGTCGGAGGAAAGAGCCCGACGCGTAGCGCGCGATAAACACGACCACTGATAAATAGGCGTGCAACAGTTATCGCAGGCGCGGCGTCATATCTACGGAGATCGGTAACGGGGGGCAGCGTAGCGTCTCCTCGACGGTAACGACCCGCGAGAGAGAGCGCGGCTACTGCTGGAAGTGCTGGGCGGGCCGCAGCGCGGGCAGCGGCGGCGGCGGCTTCAGGCGCAGGCGCGCGGGCGGGTGCTGCGCCAGCGTGTGGCGGCGCAGGTACAGCGGCGTCTTGAAGGAGCGCCCGCACGTGGCGCACGCCACCGGCTGCGCCTCGTGGATCAGGCGCACGTGCTGGCGCAGGTTGGACGCGTTGCTGTACCGGCGCCCGCCCCCCGCGCACTGCACACCCGCGCCGCCCGCCGCGCCGGCGTCGGCTGACACCCACACC